CTATCAAATGCCAAAGTCTACTCAAAGATTACCCAAAAGTACAATTGCTGTCAAAATCTACCCAAGCTGTCAAAGAAGATATGGAAGATATCACAAAATCCCAAGATATCAAGGAAATGAAAAAAGCGCCACAAGCTGTCAAAAGAAGGATAAAGATGCAGAAAAATCCTATATGCAAGCAACTAAAATCATCATTTCCCAGGGCCCCTTCAGAACCAAAAGTACAACATAAATCATATTAAATTCTTAACTGTACTTTAGAGAAAAAAGAAGAGAGATAAAGCAGCAATAGGCAGGTTTGAGGCTTAGACAGTAGAGCATGGCAAAAAGATATACAACAGAAAAGATATAATCCAAAAGACACAGTTCAGAAGATAGAAGAAAAAAGATACAAACTGAAGCCTCTAAGTTTCAAGACTGAAAAACTTGCATCAGTCTCACAAAGCCAACCAAACATATAACCTGCAAACTGTGAACCAGAACCAGGTTCAAACCTGATAAACAACTAAAAGCCAAGAAACCATATCAGTATATCAACACAAAACCTTCTGCAAGCTTACCTGTGGTCAAAACCTGAACCACCATCAAACACAACCATCAACCTGCCTAATCCAAGCAGGCCTCACAAGTTATCAAACACAACAAAGACTCAAACCTGCTAATGTCCTAAACCAGGCCTGTACCTTCAAACCCATCCTAAAACCTGAGAAACCAAGTTCAAATCTGTGGTCAAGGCAAAGAACCTGCAAGTTCAAACCTAAACAAAAACACCATAACATGCTGTCATAACCTCACAAACCCACACACACACACCATTTTCAAAGCAATCGAAAAACAAGGTAAGTGATCTAAAAAACCAAGTAACTAAGAGCCCATGGATAACCATGGATGAAAAGGGTGCTAATACCTTCCCTTTTCATAATCTACCCCCCGAACCCACGAAATATCTCAAAAGGTTTTTGCTGTGCTTTTTTAACCTTTCCTTTAGGATAAAATAAAAAGTCGGTGGCGACTCTTGCTCAACCGCACAAGTGCGAATACGAACGCAAAACACAAGTCAGTTCTCCCACCGTATCACATGTTGGAACATCTGATTCGACATAAACAATGGGGAAAGTTGTAAATAATATAAAATAGTACTGAAAAGCATGAACAACACATAGAATTGTTAAATTATTTCGGAGTAACTCTCCTACTCTGGGGTTATACCAAGCCAGGGATAAGTTTACTCAAATAGTATCAATTCATAGACCCTACAGCAAACCTCCAGTTTATGGCCTAATCACTTAATCACTACCCTTTCTATATTTCTATCTAATAATCACCTAGATATGAGGTCCTCCTCAATCCCTCTTCAATTACAGACAACAATTAGACACAAACAGGAAGACATACTTCCATGACAGCAAAAAAAAAGACACACTTCCATGACAATCACTAGCCAAGATTCTTAACTAAGACCACAACTTGGAGTTGCTCACAAGATTCCTCCAAGTACAATACTCACTCTTGCTTCACAACTTCGAGGAGAACACAGTGACCATCTCACAACCTGAGTGGTTCACACATACCAACTCTCTTAAAGAGTGGCTAACAGACTCAACCCTAATGATTAATTTTTTTCTAATTTTAGTTGGTACCAAACAAAGATTTTAAAGCTTCTATTTATAACCTATACCCAACTGGATTTTGGCCTTCAAATGACAGCTCTTTAGTTGTTACAAACATCATAAAATTCTACTACAAATAGGTCTTTGAACAAATCTTCCTAAATTATCTCCATATTTAGAAGGTCAATATTCTTCCTGATTCTTCTTGACCTACAAATCAGCGCCACATAGGATAATATAATATCCTCAAGGTATATTTTGTCTATGTGACTTAACAAAATAAATAGATCTTTTTCAGCTCAGGCGCGATGCCGTATGCTTCCTCATAGGACATCTTCTCCGACATGTTGCTCCATATTTTGAAACACTTCAACCCAACATGTGCTAACATAAGATATAAGTTCTTTCTCAATCTATTCTTCTTAGCAAGATAACACATATTATCTAACATATTGCTCTTATATTTGTTTCACAAAAATTAATGTAAATCCTTAAAACTAAGGAACTTACAATACTAATTGTGCTAATTTTATATTTCCACACTTTTACATTAATGTCATTTAATTTCTTTCCCTTTACAGTAATGCAATTTAATTTCAAGCACTTTACATTTCATGACATTTACATTTTATGCCATTTACTTTTTTGTCATTTACTTTTATGACTTTTTCCTTTTGCGCCTTGGAATTTTCTTTTTCTTTTGATAAAAAGACACTAATAAAGGCAAAACCCTAAAAAAAGATTAATGTGTTCTTGAGGAATATTTGGTTACTATCCTTTGCTTGAGGAGTTTGGATTTTTGACTTAGGATTTAGAACCTTTCCTTTGCATGGAATAAATTCATCTGAGACTTAAGGATTCATTTAATGCCTTATGAATTCATCTAAGACTTTGTGACTCATCTGGACCTCTGAACTTCAAATTAAGACTTGGTTCTGGTCACCTTGGAATTTCATATGATACTTGGGATTTCATATGATATTTTTAAAGTTCATTTGCTTGTGTGATTACTCATCTGATGTTTGATTTGTGGCTTAAATCCAAAGGGAAAGGAATGCCCATTTTGACTAATGTCAAATACTTGCTATTCTTGTGGTTAGTTCACTTGCATACACAAAGGTTTTCTCTTGGGCTACCTTACAATGAGATATTGTATTTCATGTCCTTTACTTTATGCTTTAGGATAGTCTCTTCATCTCCCCCTCTTCTTTAATTTTCAAAATATTTTCCCTATTTCAAAATTTATTATTTTCAAAACTTCACCCCTTTCTTAACCAAACCTTGAATTTGTCAAGTGGTCCAGAAAATAATTTCTTAATAAATGCCAAAACACTTAAGCATATTCAATTTTTTTTTCAAAACTCCTAAAAAAGACAAACTCCATCAAACTCCATTTTGTGCCTTAGTGCACTTTTTCATTTTCAAACTAGATATTTTTTCTGAAAGAAAGGATAAGAGTCCATTCTTGCAGTAATGCAAATTCCTATACTTCAACAATATGCAGAGAAATTGATAGACATTTTCCACTTGAGTGTTGAGACATGCTTGTTGGGTAAATTCAAGCAAGATTCTCCATATCAAGATGATGCAAATTCTCATTTCCTCACACTTGTGGGTAGTAAGTTGAGTTTACCACTCGAATACGACAAAATATATTTTTCACCTAAAAATAATCAACAAACAAAAGCGTGTTTCATAAACAAAAACAAGTTGTTCCTATGGAGTACCATAGATGTGAGGGGAATACTATTTTTCCCTTGCATAACCAACATCTGTACCTAAATATCTCTTTTGTTTTGTTTTCAAAACTTTTTGTGGGGTTTTTTCCATCTTTTCCCTTTTCCCTTTGGAAACAATGAAGTTTGGTGGCGACTCTTGTTTTTTTGAGTTAAGTTAATCAATAGTTTAATCTTAATTTTCTCGCTGCGACAGCAGGAATCGAAAGTCGATTCCCATAGACGGTATCATTGTTCTGTTGTGGAACCAAAAATAGAGAGAATTGTGAAAATCACGGCTGAGCGAGATTTCCTGAGCACTGCGATGATGAGGCTTTATGGATCAAAGGTTACTCTCAGATACGAATGGCAAAAAAAAGATACTTGCATGGTTAACACTCCAACGTTCGAGTCTGTTTATGACTCAAGATAGTGGTGATGAAAGTGGAGATTAGAGATTGTGTACCGGAAAACCTTTTATGAAGGAAGGTATTTATACCTTGCGCCTGACGGAACGGGTTGAATTAATGTGTCTCGTGTTATTGAGCTTTTGGGCAACGCGGAGCAGTGGATCCTTGGACCTTTGACCGACACAGAACAAAAGTCGTTTCTCCTGCTTTCTAATCCGACCTAAGAGGTCTACTATAAATACCCCAAATCCCATAATTGGGGAGGACATTCACTAATTCCATAGAAAAACAAAGTCTCTTACAATCCCTACGTGAGTCGACTCTCTATCAACTATCGTACTTTCAATTAGGGGTGACAAACGAGCATATGTCATCCTCGTTTAGGCATGTCCAGTAAAAACCCGTAAAAAAATTGAGGCGGACATATTTGAGGGTGCTGGTCTAAAACTTTACCCTACTCTACAAAAAAGTGAGGGTGGATCCGTTGGCATTAAATTTTTTAAGCTTGAAATTTGAAAATTTATATTTAAAAGTCCGCAAAAAAAAAAAAACAGACACATTAAAGAGTGTAGGCCTAAAATCTTGATATGCTTCGCAAAAAATACAGACAAAACGAATATTTGATAGACAGAATCCGTTTTGCCATCCCCTACTTTCAACAAATACAAATATTCTAAATATCTGAATTTTACATTTATTTAGGAAATGAATTACCTATTTAAAAATGATTTTATTATTATTGACAAACCCTGTTTAAAATATTTATCAAGTGTCCTAAATGCTTGACATGTTCTCTCTACGTGCACACATATATACAACTCAAAAACAATGTCAACTTTCTCTCCTTTCTTACCTACGTGCTTCCATCTCAAAGTATATAACCAAAATTCAAAATTGAACTATTTTGGATTAAGTAAAGAATATGATGAATGCATTATTACCTTATACAAAATAAAAAGTTAGAGTTTGACTTGTTCAAAGCAACCATAATACTAAATAAAGGCATAACCAAAAGAAAGATGTTAATGTAGGAGAATGAAGAAACCACAAAAAAAGGAAGGCTCCACAATGTTAGGGTCTTCAAACATTCTGTCATAGTTGTCATCTTTTCCTATTTTCCTCCAAACAATATTGAAAAGTAGTTATTAGAAATGTAATTAACACCCTTTTTCATGCTTTCTTTAATCTCATAAAATATTCCAAAAAAATAGAACAAACCTCTTCCTCTCCTCTCCTCTCTCACCTCAATCCCCTCTCCAGGAGGTATGGGGAAGATAGAAAAAAAACACACCAAAATAAAATTTTCATTACCAAAACAAAATAATTTTCTATCACCCATGATGCATATCCTCCTGGTCATTCTTCTCTTCTCTTTCTTGTCTTGGCCGTCTTTAGCTCTTCCTTCTCCCGCAAGTTTCCTTCCCAAGGACAATTTTCTCATTGATTGCGGTGCTGAAAATCCACCTACTTTACCTGATGGAAGACAGTTCAAATCAGATCCACAAGCGAATTCGTTCTTAAAGGCGACAGATGATTACAAAGTTTCTGTGAATGATGTTGATGTTCCTTTACCTATATACTTAAACGCTAGAATCTTCATTCAAGAAGCTAAGTATTCTTTCCATTTGGTTCAATCTGGTTTCCATTGGGTTCGGCTTCATTTCTACCCGATTAAAAACAGTGTTTTCGATCTTCAAAAGGCCACGTTTTCTGTCAACACAGATACTTTTGTTCTTCTTCATAGCTTCAATGTTAACAACACTGATAAAGCTATCCTCAAGGAGTATCTTATCAATGTAACAGACCCGCAGTTTACGTTGTCTTTTATTCCTTTGAAGAATTCGGCTGCGTTTATCAATGCAATCGAGGTTGTTTCGGCTCCTGATAACCTAATGTTCGATAGCGGGGCCGGACTTTTCCCGGTCGCTGAGGTTACTGGTTTGACACAATATGCTTTTCAGCCTGTTTATAGATTGAACAATGGAGGACCTCTTATTACATCATCGAATGATACACTAGGAAGAACATGGGAATCTGATGAGCCTTATCTTACAAACAAGAATCTTGCAAAGTTTGTTTCTGTTGCTACTAATGTTATTAAGTTTCCTCAAGACACGCCCACCATTTCGCCTTTGACTGCTCCGCAGACGATTTATGCTTCTGCAACTGAGATGGGTGATGCTGGTGTTAATCTACCAAACTTCAATGTTTCATGGAAGTTTGATGTTGATACTTCTTTTAGTTACCTTGTTAGGTTGCATTTTTGTGACATTGTGAGTAAAGGCCTTAATCAACTTTACTTCAATGTTTATGTTAATGGAAAAATTGCAATCCCTAATTTGGATTTATCCGCGATCACCGGTGCGTTGGCGACACCTTATTATAAGGATATTGTTGTGAATGCGACATTGATGACTCAAGGTTTGAGTGTTCAAGTTGGTCCTGCAAATGCTGATGGTGGAAATGCAAATGCATTGATGAATGGTATTGAGGTTTTGAAGATAAGCAACACAGTGAATAGTTTGGATGGTGAGTTTGGTGTTGATGGAAGGAGAGTTGGAGGATCGAACCGAGGAGCGGTTGCGGCCGTTGGTTTTGCTATGATGTTTGGTGCATTTGTTGGTCTTGGGGCTATGGTGATCAAGTGGCATAAGAGGCCACAAGATTGGCAAAAGAGGAATAGTTTCTCATCATGGTTGCTTCCTTTACACGCCGGTGACACCAGTTTCATGAGTAGCAAGAATTCAATGGGGAAGAGCAACATTTTCTCATCATCGATGGGATTAGGAAGGATTTTCTCCTTTCATGAAATACAAGAAGCAACTAAGAACTTTGACGCCAAGAACATCATCGGTGTTGGTGGATTTGGTAATGTTTATCTCGGTGTCATCGATGAAGGGACTCAAGTTGCGGTTAAGAGAGGAAATCCACAATCAGAACAAGGTATCAATGAATTCCAAACTGAAATCCAAATGCTGTCTAAGCTTAGACATAGACATTTGGTTTCTATGATTGGATATTGCGACGAAAACGAAGAAATGATATTGGTTTATGAGTACATGCCTAATGGACATTTGAGGGATCATCTTTATGGAAAGAACATGCCAGCACTTTCTTGGAAACAAAGGCTAGAGATTTGCATTGGATCCGCCAGAGGTCTTCATTACCTTCACACTGGTACAGCACAAGGAATCATTCATCGCGACGTCAAGACAACAAACATTTTACTCGACGAAAACTTCACGGCTAAGGTATCTGATTTTGGACTTTCAAAAGACGCACCTATGGGACAAGGTCACGTTAGTACCGCCGTGAAAGGTAGTTTCGGTTATCTTGATCCCGAGTACTTCAGGAGACAACAACTAACCGAAAAGTCTGATGTCTACTCGTTCGGAGTAGTCCTACTCGAGGCATTATGCGCTAGGCCGGCTATTAACCCTCAGTTGCCTAGAGAGCAAGTTAACTTAGCTGACTGGGCTATGCAATGGAAGAGAAAGGGTTTGATCGATAAAATCATCGACCCTCTTCTCGTTGGCTCGATTAACCCCGAGTCAATGAAGAAATTCGCTGAGGCGGCCGAGAAATGTTTAGCCGATCACGGTGTAGACAGGCCTTCAATGGGAGATGTTCTTTGGAACCTCGAATACGCGTTGCAACTTCAAGAAGCTTTCACACAAGGAAAAGCTGAGGATGAGAATTCTGCTGCTGTTGCTGTTCCAACTTCACCTGCTCCTGCTGTTCCTACTACTACACCTCCCACTATTCCTGAAGATACCCCCACCACACCTAGTCCTACAATTCCTCAGCAAGAAGCAAACACCAACAATAATGGTGCTTCCGAAGCGCGTGCTATTGACGATCATTCAGGAACTGCAATGTTTGCACAGTTTAGTAATCTTAATGGAAGGTGAAAACTACAAGAGTTGAACAATGTGAAGGAAGTGTTATAGTAATAAAAAAAAAATTAAATGATACTGTGTGCTGTGTTTTGTGATGTGGTGGAGTTATTAATGTTTGATGGTAGCAATTTGTATCATAAATTGTTGTAATACTGATTAAAGTACTGATGAGTGTGTATGATGCATTTCAGTACAATTAATCATATGGTCTTATATAATTTGATTTGTAATATATATTTTTTTTTGTAAGTTTTAGGAAGTGATTTTAGAAGCAAGCTTAAGGAAACTAGCTACTTCTATAGCTAGTGAAATTTTATTTGAGTTTGTATGCAATTTCTCACTAATAATTTGTTGTAGCAAATGAACTCTCTTTTTTTGGCCATATATGCTAATGTTTGAAATATAGATTGGGGTTATCATTTGATCTAATATGTGAGGGTAAACTCCAAAACTTAGGTAAATATGAGATAGGCATAAATACATCGAATGTTTCATCGAAGCCCATGGTGTGCACCAATTTGAGGTTGTTTTTTTAGTCTTGGCCAGTACGACCTCTCTCCATCGGGAACCATTATGGATGACTTACCTCCTAAGAAATCTTGCGACTTGACAATGTTCGAAAGTGTCGATCATGTGTTTTGACCTATTAAACCTTGTTTAAGGTATCTTGTGCATCTCATGTGTTTATGAGAGCGTGTTGTTGGGTGAGAATATGACCAATAAATAGTTTAGAAGGGAGGTGAATAAACCTTCCAAGTTTAAAATTCATTTGAAAATAGTTTTATCAGAATTTCAAAATACAAACAGTTTTGCATGGCAGAAGCAAATTTACTGTAAAAAGATTATACTTAGCGATCCAAAGTTATGCAAATATACTTATACAACTCACAATGCAATCATGATGAACAACATGATTTCACCAAAATGAACAAACTAATTATATTTATTTATATTTTTTATTGTTTGTCTCATTAAGTCAACTCAATTAATAATTATAAGACTATCCAATTAAAAGGATGTGGAATCAAATGCGTCACATCTCAGACATTCACTTTTAAAGAGTGAAAATCTGGTCATTAGGTCTACTGGAAAAAAAATTAGATCATTTGATTTAAATATTCATAAAAGTACAAAAAAAGAAACATTCGTATGTTACATTTTTGGTAATCAAGTAAGAATCTATTAAAAAGAATATGGTTCAAATAATAATTTTTAGAGAATTGCTTTAGGCAGCCGCACCCAATGGATTTCTACCACACCCTAGTGGAAACTCAAAAATGCCCCCACATTCTGGAGATGTGTCTTTGTACGCACCACAAACACATTCGCTTATGAATCAGACCATAAGATTGTGGTAAAAACAATTACAAAGATGCATCTTTGTGTATCTTATGGAGATGCATCACCAGCCGCTATTTAATCAAAAGGGCGCTTGAACCCTTTCTCCTTCCTAGCTTCTTGTTGTACTCCAAAATTTTCCCTCCCATTTTTTTTAAAACATTCTTCTAAGGGTCTCAAGTATTCAAGGATACTCAAGGGTTGACCAGTCAAACCTCTTTCTAAGCGAGGGGTCCACAATTATGGTTTTGAGTTGCAAATGTCTCAAGTGGTTTCCATGATTCTCCATAAGTTTTCAACAATGTTCATATCAAGTTTCAAGTCTTGCATCACAAGTTTGCTCGGTCAATGGCTCAGATAATTGAAAATCAACCATATTGGGTAAAAAGTCAACTATGGTCAACATACAGTCAAACTTCAAGAGTTTTGGTCAACATAAATATTTTGAAGTGATATTCATCATTTGATCAAGGGTTGATCATGAATCCTCAAGGAAAGCCCTCAAATCTTTAAAAGTCAAAAGTTGTCAAATTAGGGTCTCCTTAGGAGAAGTCAACTGAACTTTGACCAAGCATAACTTTCACATGCTTCATCAACTTTTCTCCAAGCAAATCCCATTTTGAAGGAAATATAATTCTCTACAACTTTGTGTATGTATGCTCAAATCCAAAAAGTGCTTCATTTGAGAGATATGAGCCCACATATTATAGGTCATTTCAAAAGTCAACAAAAAGACACTTTTTATCAAGGCAAATTACATCAAGATAAAGTCTCCAAATGCAAAAATGATCACAAGAAAAATTGAAGAAGACATCTTTATATTTTCAAAAAGTCCAAGATCATCTTCAAAAGATGAAAATTGAGAGAGTTGTGACCATTGCAAATTGGGAAATTTTGGTAAAATGCATGAAATGCAAAGTGAGCAAACTTGAAATTCTAGACTAATGGGCCTAACTTTTGATGTTCAAACATGTTCACAATGTGTTAGAAGACCTCTAAATCCATTCATATATTTTTTTATGATTTTTATTTCTTTTATTTGAATTTTTATTCATTTAAATGCAAGTAAATCAAATAAAATATAAAATCATTGGGCCAAGGCGCATGGACTTTTGATTTCAATCACATGGAGGTCCAAGAACACATGAAAAACATGCCAAAACCATGAAAACATGTTGGGAACAAGAATCTTCAATTCTGAAATGTTTTTTTAACAATTTTGGAAAGATTTCAACGTGTTTTTTTGCAATGAATTGTGACATGATGGTACAAGATTCATGTATTGTTCTTGTTCCATTTCATTCCTCTATAAATACATGCAATACTCAAGTGCAAAGGACACAAAAAATGTTCCCAAAAAAACACTCTAAAATTTCCAAAATTCTCAAAACTAGGGCAAGCTGTAAACACTAGTTGCAACCACGATCAAAATAAACCAGCCTTTCCATTCACTTCCAAAAGCATTATAGGGTAAGTTTGGATCATTTGTAATGATCCAAAGAGCATGAAATAAGCATACATGCTACGCCATTTTTCTTAATTTCTTGCAAATTCATTTTTATGTTTTCATTTTGTTTTATTGCATACTACCACCACTAATGATCTTCTGAGGTACAACAATACAAGATATATTTTTGCTATTATTTTCCAATCTTTGCAGATTTATCATATAATGATCAAATTCCATTTTTCAAACACCAAGCACACATGGTTCAGATGGCAAAGGATAGAGATTATAAATAGAAGGGTGTAGGTTTAAACCCCAACGTCTGCACCTTTCTTTTATTCTTTTCAATACTTTTTAACCCTTTTCTATTTTTCTTTTTCATTTTGTCTAATTAATTTATTTTTTCTTTTTAATCATTTTCTTTAATCAATAAAATCACAAAAATATATATAATAAAATCATAACTAGACTTTTAATAGGTTAATTTAACTTCTAGACAATATTTTTCTTAATTAATTAATTAGACATAGGTTTCTTTTATAATTAATTAAATATTTAATTTAGGTTTAAAGTATATTTATTTTATAATTCAAATCAAACCAAAAATGCACAAAAAATTTAATTTCTAATCTTTTAGATGTTAAGATTTTTAAAAATAATTTTGCAAATATTTTGTATTTACTTTTGCTATTTATTTTATTATAAACAAATGTATAGGTCGCATATGTTTTCTTGTAATAGTTTAGCGTTTAAATTCTCGCAAAGTTATAAATATTGTAAATCCCCCAAAGCCATGTAATAGCCGTAGGTCTTTACTTTCCCGCATTTTATTTTATTACGCATATATTTTGTATGTCTTGTATGTATATATAATTGTTAGCTAAATATGATTGTATGGCAAGATAATAATCAAACGCTAGAAAACCTAATCAAGACAAAAATAACTGAAAAACAAATCACTTCTTACACACGCACCTCTAGGGTGACTCCACTTGTTGCCTTCAGAAAACAGTCATGTCCCTAGAACGTAGGGATACCATTAGCAAAGACCCTCGGTTAAAAAATCATCATAAAGATCATAGTCCCTCGATGACCCTTCGATGCTACCTTCGGTGAATGATCTTGTCCCTTGATGTTGCCTACAAATACATGATGATAGTTCCTTAGAATTGCTAAAGGTATCCCTATATGTTGTCTTTATGACTGTATGATGACCCACACATGTCCCTCAAATATCCAACAATAGGGCTTCCTACTAACTAATGGTAGGATAACACTATCTAAAGGAATAAGAAAAGAACAAAATACTTTTGAGTAGGTAGATAGCTTTTAACCGCTTGCTCACAAAAACATCTCTTTTCACACAAACACTTTTCTGAAATATTTTTAAAACAAACACTTTGTATGCATTCTCAACTGATACGAGAATCATCACAAAGTTTTCCAAACTTAGGTATTTTCATAATATTTTCAAACTTACACATTCACAAAGCATTTTCAAAAGTGAGCTAGCAATTAAGAGCCCGTAGATAACTACGGATGAAAATGGTGCTAATACCTTCCCTTTTCATAACCTACCCCTCGAACTCAGAAAAATTCTCAAAGGTCTTTCCTGTTCTTTTCACCCTTTCCTTTATTGGGTAAAAAAAAGCCGCTGACGACTCTTGCTATCTGTAATATTTGCGATAAAACACAAAACCAAAATCCAGTTCTTCCGCCGTATTACACTTCTCATAAATCTCCCAAACTCTAAAACTATCAACCTCTCATCTCTCAAAATCTCTCAACTCACATTCTCTCAAAATCATTCAACTCACTTCAAATCTTCTTCCATCAACATAAAAATGATCAAAGAGCTCATTCAACATCAAACTTAACTCATATTTAGTAAGCATTTTAGTTTTATAATTTTTTTTTATTTTCCATCAACATGTGTAGAAATTGAGCATTAGGTAATGTAATAGGTAATTTACATATGTCATTTACATGAATAATGTGTTTCATAGGTTGTTTTATTTATTAATGTATTATTTTGGATGTTGGCATGAACTATTTTTATGCCATTAATGAATTACTGACTTGTAGAACTTTACGGAGATGCATCTCCAAAAATTTACAACATTTTATTTTCCCGAAACCGGAGATGCATGTTCAGAATTTGTCTGTATGCATTTTTTTATTGATCTGGTTGTGTTTCATCTAGGTAATGGTTGTGTGGTTTACTTTT